AAAGTCTCTCGAATATCCCCTTACGGATCAACGCTTTCACATTATGTCATAATGATGCAATGCAATGCAAAAATGATGAAAAATGATACAAACAAAATAAAAGAAATAAGTTAGTACATGTAAGATAATTGATACAGATAAAAATGTTATTCAGAGATGAATATAACACCTACCCCGACATGATATATGCCTGAACAAGCTTTCATTAAATAGCATTCCTACTTGGACATGCTTTCTACCCAAAATGATTAATTCAAGAAAATAATCTTAACCGCATGGTATCTAGTTCGCATGCTTTTATTCAACAGAATTTAAAGCAAAAAGGAAAGGTTCAGAAACGTTCCTCCTTTGTGTACACCTATTTTGGGTACCTACTGACGTATAGAGGTTCGATATTTCTATACCTAGGGTGACCGTTCTACAGTTCACTACATGCATAGTTTTGGCTCTATGAGGAAATGGTACTCGAATTATCCTTAATGTCGGTGCCTCTTGGGCTGTCAAACCCTCAATCCTCACCCATTACAGGTTTCAAAAGGAATGAGTTCAATTTGAGGGAATTCACTACCTTATACCCATACGAGGAATAAATCCCTACGAAGGTATAAGGTATGTATTCCATGAGTTATTTGCTAAAACTCATACGAAGAATAAATTCATACAAGAGTAAAGCATTCATCCCGACTTATTTGGAACAAAACTCGGGTCTAGAGCTTATGTCATGCAAATGCACGTTATGTGTGTGAGGAGGAGCATATAAACCTTTGACTCAAAAGGAAAACGAAACAAGAAAAAACTTGATAAAACATTGACAAAGCTGAAAAAAATGCAGAAATTAAAAAATTTCAATAAATGGATCATAGGCTAACTATAGACTCGAACTCATAATTTCCACCACAACGATAATGTGTAAGCGACTTACAGCCTGACTCTCTAAAAAAGTCTCCAGCAGAGTCGCCAAGCTGTCATAACCATTTAAAAAAAACAATTAAATAATATTTAAAAAAACAAGTATGACTTTATTTTCAAAATTTTGTCGATTTTGTATTAATTTGAATTAAATTGAATATGATTCGTCATCGACCTTTGAGTTACGTAGATCGAATACCTAAAGACGTCTTTTAAAACAATTCTAAGAAAAATCATTTTTAAGACAAAAGTTGTTATGCGTTTATCAAAATTTCAATTTAACGGGTCCGAGATTCGATTACGTGTAGGGAAGGATAAGCACCCCCACAACGTCCAAAAACTGGTACTTAATCGCTTACACGTTGTCGTAATGGTGGAAATTATGAATCGAATATAAAATTAAAATATGATCCATTCATTAAAGTTTAACTAATTTGTTTCGAATTATTTGTTAGGGAATATTCCTTAATTCGAGAAGAAATCACGAGATTTGCACATCCTCCAATGGGAAGGCTATCTCGTCTATTTCTCCTTTATACAAAAAACATTCCCCTCACCAATGTTATCAGAAAACCTGAATCGAATATAAATAAACTATTGATTATCACATAAAATACATAATTAAAAAACATGCCTTGCATCGTTTGAATAAAACAAATTAATTAGCACTTTAAAAATAACTTCGATTTATTTCAAGTTCCTATTTCGTTAAAATGTCGTATCCGATCACATCACTTCGACCAATTGATACTTTCCACGCTCATTCTACAAATCGATTCTTGAAATTATTCGAATAATATTCAATAGATAAAGAAACATCAGTGAAATAAATTTTTTATAAAAATATAACAACACATATTTAAATACAACAGTCATAGATAATATTTATTTAATATCATACATATGACTGCATATTATGTAAAATATATTCATACATGAGGGACTGAAAAAAAAAAAACAAATGAATATTACAGACCAAAATACCCCAAAATGAAAGTATTTTGTACTTCAAAGGACCAAAACGGGAATAACAGTAACTTTAAAGATCTAACAATAATAAACAAACAAACCAGAGTTAAGATTGAAATTATTACACAATTCAGGTACTATAAGTGAAAATAACCCATGAACTATTAAGGACTAAAATATAATGATAGTAAAACATACATACAAAATTCAAGAATTAACCCAAAATACAGAACAGTGACTAAAATGTAAGTTTCATAAACATAGAGGACAATGTCTAACATTTACAAAATATATATAATGACAGCCAAGTGACCCAAATACAAAGTTTACAAATGTAGAGAATAAAGTCTGAAGTAAATAAATTACAACCAGTGACTAAAAGAAAGATTACAAAACCCGAAGCCCTATAACATGGTTTACCCCATACACAAAACACGAAAATGCCCCCTCCCTAAACGACAACGTTTTGGTTGGGGATATAAGCCCAAAAACGGGCTTGTTTTTCTCATTCTTCCCTTATTTGTTTCGCTTCGGAAAATGAATATAGAGAGAGAGTTTTAAAACTCTCTTAACATTCTCTCATCAGAGAGGGAGAACTCCACTGCCGGTGGCGCTCACGGTGGTACACGTCAGTTCACAGTGGTTGGAGAGACCCAACCACCCTCAAAAGACACCTCTCAACCCCCTCCACTCGAAACCCAACTCCGTTCAGTCTAAAAGCAACCCTAACTCCTCAAATCCAAAGTTTACCTTTCAAAACAAAAGAACCGACGACCTTTGGGATGCTCTTCCGAACAAGGTATGAAGTGATTCTTCTCACTTTTCCTTGTTTTTTTCCTTTTGATCCTTTTTGTTTTTTTTCTTTTGTTCTCTCGTTATATATATATTTTTTCTAGTTCCTGAATGCTTTTTGTTTTTCTCTTTTTTTCTTTAAAACCCCGAATCACCTTTTCTTTTTCCGAATGGTTTCTTTGATCTCCCCCTTCTATTTTCTTTTTTTTCTATTTATATCCATGCATGTGTGATCTTTGTGATCGATTTTTTGTCCTTTAATCTGATGATGCTACAGGGCTAAATATCCTCGGGAAGGTGTTTTTATGATTTGTTCTTAATTTTTTAATGGGCTTTTCTGACTTTGGTGTGACTTTCTGGCACTTTTGATGAGGGTGGCGACTCTAAGACGGTCGAAGGTGGAAGCATCAGCATTCAGGCGACGACATTCTATAAGGGTTAGGGTTTCAGACCCTAAATGGTCATTGATCTGGACCGTTAGATGGGTCCAGATCAAACTGTCCCTGATGGTGTGGCGTTGGGGTAGAGAAGGGAAATCCTAGCGGGTCTGGGTCTAGAGCTGGGTCGGTTCGGGTCAGCCGGTTTCATATTAGGCTGATGGGTTCTCTTGCAGTGGGCTGAGTTGGGTTAATTGTTGTTGGGCTGTCTGGGACTTGCTTGTAATCAGTCTTCAAATTAAGCCTGCAAAATTTGTAATTAAATAATAATAATAATATTTTTTAAACCCGAACAAAAACGAGTGTCTACACATCTTTGACTCCTAGAGCTAGAAGTGATGAGCAGCAGCTCTTCCGTGTAATGAACCAAATGTTCAATAAGAATGATCTATATTTTGACAGGTTCGCATGGTTGAGATTGATTTGATGTACATCACATTCCTTGAGGTATGTGAAAACCACCGCAAGAAATGATCGAGAGGCAGATCTTCCAATTACCTACTTCAAGAAGCAATTAAACCATGCCATGTTGGGGCAAATCTCCCCTGAAGCTGTGGTAGATCTCCGCCTACAAGCATATAATGATATATCAAAAAATCTTGTAATGTATGGCATCTTTTCCAGTACATGACCCTGCTACTGCTATGTGGCAATCATATATGTGCTTTCTAAAAAGTAATTCGCAGTCCAGTTATCCCTGTCGAGTTTCATGTATTTCATGCTACAAAAATAGGGGGAAGGTCTCCATATAAGATTTTATTTGTGAAAAGGGTAGGGAAGATATTCCAGACAGATTTTCGTCCTGCATATGATTCGAATGAAATTACTGAGTTTAGAGAACCGGTGCCTTTCGGTCTGACAAGGAACTTGCAAGCATTCTTCTCCAATTTTGGTGTGGAAGGGCCTTATTGTATCTCTAATGGCCAAAATCTCTCCCAAGGTATGTTTTCTTAGCATTTGTATCAAACCAACAGACAAATCTCATTCATTATTTGTATCAATCAGCTAAGTTTCTCTGTGATGAGCTGCTTTCATGGTTAACTACCGATGTTGAGAGCGTTGTTGCCCAGATCAATGGAATAGCTCGGTATTTGTATGGAGGTAAAAGTTTCTGTTTCTTTTGGTCATCCTACTCAAAACGCTTATTGGTGGTTTTGTGGTGCAATCAATATGTATGATGAACATGGCATCCATGGTTTTGATGCATCCAGCATTTGTGTGGTATGCGATAGTGTAGAAGATAATTTATCAATGTAGAAATTGTTTACAGATATTTATTGAATCACTTCATTGGTGATTGTTCACTCTGTTTTTGCTCTACAAAATTTGAAGATGACAAAATGAAGTATGCAGATGGTGTCAAGAAAGACAGCCAACCAAAAAATATGAATGAGAAAAAAAGTTGAGTCAATCCTCTAGAGGGCAGCGCAGGTGCTTCCCTTTCGGTGTTGGCAATCCCTTAAAGCGTATGATATGAGATGAACAATCCTCAATCCCTCCTCCACATTCTTCTTCTATACAAATCTCGTGTGCTTCCCTGAAAACATCACTGTCATGTTCATCTTGTTTAACCCTTCACACAGCTCGTCCACCAATCCATCATCATCATCAATGTAATCTTCATAGTACTCGTCTCCCATTTCTTCAAATGTGTTGTCAATGTCATCTGTCTTCTCTTTGGTTGCACTGTTTTCTTCTGTATTTGATTTCTCAGCAAAATCCAGCAGCAGAGATCGTGTTATTGCACTCTTCTGGGAATCAACACTAATTCCATCAAAACTACCACTCGCCATCTGCCGTATTACAGACAAATGTATAGTTAAAACTTGAGCAAACAAAAGTTCTTTGTCAAAAAAAAAAGAAGAAGAAGAAAACTGACCTCAGATATATTCAACTGTTCTCAATCAACGGGAAGAAGATCCATCACTGATGAACCCAATGCACCATCCCCAGAAAGATTTGGAACCAGTGGTGTATTTGCAGGAGTGGGAGCCAAGAGTGACATTGGGGACTGAAGATGAACAAAAGGGCGGCTCTCCAATGGGATTTTCGAGAGCTCAGCCTCTTCTACAACCTTTTGCAACGAAGTCTTGATTTGACCCCTTAACAAAGCCTCGCCACAACCAGGAGTCACCATCATGTTCTTGACTCCATTACCCCTCTGCTTGCCTACACCAGATGATGGCATCTCCATCGCAACCCCAAAAATGGGTGAAAGAATCATTTGTTAATTCATTAAAAGCAGACCTTTCTTGAATATGATTCCCATTTCCTCTACAATCTTTTGCAACGAAGTCTTGATTTGACCCCTTAACAAAGCCTCGCCACAACCAGGAGTCACCATCATGTTCTTGACTCCATTACCCCTCTGCTTACCTACACCAGATGATGGCGTCTCCATCGCAACCCCGAAAATGGGTGAAGAATCATTTGTTAATTCATTAAAAGCAGACTTTTCTTGAATCTGTTTCCCATTTCTTGTTCTTGTTTTCGAGGCAAACTCTTCATTCTTTCCATCTACAACAAATCATCAAGAAAAGACAAAGATTTCATGTCTTTTTTAGTTCATTTTTAAAGACAGAGAAAGATATACTATTTACAATCAAAAGAAGAGTGAAAAGAACTCACTGGAAACAGGGATACTGTTGCTGAAAGCATCCAAGTTCTGAGACCTTGAGGATGAAGGGGTCTCCATTGCAAATCACAACCTTTTATATGAAGGATCGATGCCCAAAACGTTAGAGAAGAAAAGGCAAATAGTAAATGGAAGCTAATTGATGTTTACAAATGCAAAGAGAGGGATTTATATAACTATTAATGGAGATATGATTTGATACGGCCCAGGATTTAACCGGCGACATCCTCATTTCGACCGTTGAAAACAAAACTAACCGTTGGAGGGTTTCTTTCTTTCTTTCTTTTTATTTTATTTGATTAATGGATAAACTATATGAATAGTACTTTTTGTTTTGATTTAATCGATTTTAGTCATCAATTTAAAAATTAAAGGTACACGGTCTCTAATATTATCGATTCGTTCAATTTTAATCCTTCATCCGTTAACTCTCACCAACTCTATAATAAAAATATTACGTGACAATTAAAAAATAATAAACATATCCACATAAGTCACAGGTAAGTGACGTGAAATAAAATTTTATGAAAAAATCTCAAACTTCTTCTTCAAGCTAAAAGGAGTGGGGAAAAAACTACAAACCGCAATTTTTTTTTTTAAAGTTCCCAGTATTTTCTGAAATATAACTTCTTCAAGCTCCATCTTTGTCTCACCTCTTTTTCGAACTGCAAACCGAAATTGAAAAAGGGATACTTTTTCTTCCAATATAAACTTCATATTGGAACAGCTACTGAAAGTAGTTTCAGTTTTTACTTGAAATACTCTGTTTCTTTTATTGTAGGTAGGACTGCTTTCACTTGAAAAATGTCTTCAACTGTAAACTGTCAACTGCTTCTTTCAACCTCAAAAACTGAAAAGGTCGATATGAGTATCATATAAACGGTCCAATTTTAGCTTCTTTGCTCCAAAAGCTACCTCAGTTGATGGTAATACTTCATATCTTATCTAAATCTAAACTCAGGAAGACTAAAACTTTCTCGTTCTTCCTTTATTGTAAAACACCCAACGTGTAGTGTAGTGCATTTCGTTTTAAGCTGGAGAGATTTTTAAGTTGAAAGCATTGGGTTGTAAGGTTGGAATGGCCTTAAAATGGATGATTCTTTTTTGGAGATTTCCATAAAATGCCCTAAAAAGAGTGAAAAAAATTCATGCTAAGAAGTTTCAACTTCACATTGCAGGTTTCCTTCCGCTTAGAGCTTACGACACTCCAATCTAGGACATGGTAAATCATATAGCCACCATTGTTTGATGAACAACTGACGTATATTTGGAAAGGTAGACCTTTGTTTCATAACTGACTAGTAAAATCTATAGTACACTTTTGAAACGTAGATCTTATTAAAATTTAGTGTATAAAGACCAACCCACAATCCCAACAAAAACCAGGTAAATAACACCTTCCAGTGCACCTATCGAGCCACCATGTTCCGGGGGGGACCACACCCGGTTGTCTTGAGTGTGTAGAGAGACTAAGCAATTACTGGATTGGCAACCAGGCCACCGACAATTGCTACTTTCTCTGCAACTCCATTGCGGCTTTCACTGGTCTCCTTTGCCATGGTTAGCACTTTCAGACGAGGTTGCACCATTGGTCTTGTATATGTGAGAATGAAGCTATGGGGTTTTAGTGAAGACACGGAGGTTGACAGTGGTGATGGACATGGTAGCAACATCTTGGGTGCATCCATGGCCAGATGAGAGAGAGAGAGAGAGTTGTATTAATAAGGCCGTACTGTTTAAGTTTGCTAGTATTTTAGTAGCTGTAGTAGAAGAACGTGGATGCATGTAATTTTTTTTTTTTTTTTTTTTAAATTAATTACCAAGTCACATTTCTTTTAAGAGTTAATGGAAGTTTTAACGCGAAGATATTAAAATTACATAAATCGATAATATTAAAGATTATTTATCTTTAGTTTTAAAATTGATGATTAAAGTCGATAAGACATTAAACAGAAGAGATTATTCGTATAATTTACGCTTAATTAATCTATTTTTGCTCAATTATTTAAGCCATAATGTTTAAAAAGTTTTGACCCTTGATTAGTATCGCTTTAATCTTTATTATTTTTTAAAGCATTTTGATCCATCAACAATTTATTTTAAGATAAAAAAGATCATTTTATAGACGAAAATCTTTAATTAAACAAATAGTTAATACTTCAAAATATGATTTTTTTACTTTAAAATAAAATATTAAAGGCAAGAATATTAAAGAAAATAAAAAATATAAACTAAAATGACTATTTTAAAGACGCGTTAGGGGTTAATTTTAATATTATATTATGTGTTTTTGATTTTTGATATTCCACCCAAAATGTATTATGAATAAATTATGTGAATAGTCTTTTTTGTTTAAGGTCTGTCTAATTTTAGTCACTGATTTTAAAATTAAAGATAAATAGTCTCTAATATTATCGGTCCGTCTAATTTAAGTCCCTCCACCGTTAATCTTTAACGAATATGTGACATAGTTGAGGGACTAAACTCGAACGAGAGTTAATGACTAAGGGACTAAAATTGAACGACACAGTGACGTTAGAGATTAAATCAAACGTATCGATAATGTTAGAAAACATGTATCCTTATTTTTAAAATTTGTGACCAAAGTCGATCAGATCGACAACAAATAAGACTATTCACATAGTTTACCCATATATTATTGTATATTGGGATCCACCCAAAATTCAATAGCATCAAACATTGCGTGTGTGATCCAGATTGCATGGTTAACCAAAAACTATGGCATTTCTACAATGCCAAATACCAAGAATACAATTAATGAAGATCAGGTACCATGGCACACATGGTTACTGCATGAACTTCATTTTGGCTGGGGTGTTATTTTGCAGTTTGCTTGCTTGCTTAGGATTATTTTGTTTCACGAAAAATAAATTATAAAAAATAAATTTTGTGAAATGAATTACATTTTTTTAAATCATTTTTTAGAAATATTTTACGGTGTTTATATAATGTGTAATTCATTTTCCACCGGTTGGTAAATTTTTTAATTTTTTATTATAAACATCAGACACAATAAATAATATTATTTACTAACAAAATAATAATATTATTTTTAAAATATTAGAATAATTTATTTAATATTATTTATGTCAATATTATTATTAAAATATTATATCTATAATTTTATAAATAAAAATATTAATATTATTATAAAATAAAATTATTATAAATTACATTAATTATTTATTAAAATAAGAATAATAAATTATTAATTATATTAATTAGTTATTAAATTAATAATATTATTAAAATATTAAAAATTATTATATTAAAATAATAATATTATATTATATTTTAAGAAATGTGTTTTAAATATTCAATATTTCAATAATATTATTTTTATGAAATCAATAAATAATATTAATTTAATTAATAATTTATTATATATTGTTAAAATAAAATTATATATTATAATAATATAATTATAACAATAAATATATTTATTATATTAGTAAAAATTATCAATAAATAATTAATAAATAATATTTTTATAAAAATGATACTAAAATAATATTAATATTAAATATAAAAAATAATGTTTTGAGTGTTTATGATTTGAAGTGACAAAATCATAAAATGATAATCAAATTTTAATTCATTTCTTTTAAAAATATAAAAAATAATTGACCAAAAATAAAACTACACTAATTATACCCTTAACACTCTTCTTATGGTTACTCCCACTTTATTCTTTCTACCCGCAACACTCAAAGAAGCATCTATTGATCTGAAATTGTCCTACCACAATCAGGCCCAACTCTGCTACCAGTCTTAAACCCATCTATTCATTCTAATCTAAATCTAATACTTGAAATGATTTGACCCTGTATAAAAACCAATCAGATTCGTCCAAATAACTGGTCTTACTACAATGTACAGAGGTTGTATAAGTCAATGTACAATACATTAAATATTAAACCTAAAAGAAATGTTCTAGATGAAAAGACTTGCAGTCACTTGAGATTTGAGTGGAGTTAGAAAAAGAAACGATCACGTGCTAAGAATTACTGTTACCTTTAGGAGACTTAAACAAATTGCATTGGGGGATGCGCATGAACAGCGATTTTGTTGTTTCGACCAGACAAAGATGGCCTTGTCTTGTCTTGTTAAGATGATTAAATTATAACATAGGCACATGAATCTTTAACAACAGTGTGAGACAAGATAAAAATATTATAAATTGCATTGAAAACGTGCTCTCTAATGCTGCGCTGGTCAAGGAATAACAACTGATCTGAGAACATGTCCTACCCATATCTGATCTCGACTCCTTGTTCCCAAGGAAAAGTAAGCAATTTTTTTGTATGTTCCTCCGACTATGCCTACTAGCTTTAGAAAAAGATGGTCACTTTTATTTTGTCGTGAAAGATAGATAATATATCTTTTTCTTGCATCACTCGGTTTCGGTTACAAAAATGGCTTTGTGGGTAAATCTAATTGCCAAATACTCTTTTGTGACTAAGGGGCTGTTTGTTTACTTCAATGATTAAGCGTGAATGATTTAAATACTGAATGATTCAGAGGCTCTAATGGTTTGACTCTAAATGTGACATGATGTTTGATAACCGACTCTGAATGATTCAGAATGTACTTCTGTGCTGAATCATTCAGCATTGCTTTGCTGAATCAGTCAGCACTGAATCATTCAAAGGTGCGAAACAAACGCACTGAATGCTGAACGGTTCAGTATTCAACGCTGAATGATTCCATTAAGAGACAAACAAACAGCCCCTAAATTTTAAAGCCCAAAGCATGACTTTTCAAAATCCCATGACTATGGCATCAATTACAAGATATGAATAAGATAGTGGAAAGATGACTCGTCCACTGTTCATTCATTTTAATTTAAATGGAGAGTTATGGTTGTTGGTCGATGTTTGAAAGTATCGTAACGTCCCGAAAAATCGATAATTAATTTTAGAGGTACATTTCGATTAAAATTGGGTTTTCTTTTTAAAGTAAAAAATGTGGTTTGAGAGAGTCGCCACCATTTTTTGTTAGGATGTGATTAGATCATCTAAAAATGTTTTCATTTTAATAAAATTTAATTTTAAAAATTATTAAAATAACGTTTTGGTCTACTTTCCAGAAAAATGAATTCAAGAGTTGATTACGTGTGGGAAAGTATTAGTACCCCCACAACGTCCGAAAACCGGTACCTAGTTGGTTAATTATTGTCTTTGTAATAGAACTTGTGAATTCAAACTTAATTTAATTAATGATCCCCTTTTAGTTAAATAAATACATTGTTATTTGACCTAAATTTTAGGTGAGAAGATTAACTATTCATGCATTTGACCAGAGAAAGTTAACCTCCTAATATATGTGTAATGCTCCAATTTTCGGGTTAATAGTTTTGGGTAAACCCAAATGGGTTGTAATTTAGGCTAAGAGACCAATTAGAAGTGTTTGGTTGGGAATTGGCTTGTTATAGTTTGGGTTCATAAAATGCGTGTTTCGAATTGTGCAAGGAATAGGGATAACTAAAGGAGCAATTAGACACTAAATTCTTTTAAAGATTGATTCCCTCTTTATGAAGCTTATGTCATCGTAGGAATAATCTCATTTCTTATTGCTTATTCTTTCATTCAAAAGCTATTCTTTTCCAATCTTGCAAGTTCAAAGGTGATAGCTTTGTGAATCCTTCCTATTATTTCTAAAAATCTAAGGCAAGATTAGTAATCTCCTCCCTATAGCTCTTCTTCCCCACTCTTGCAAGTTCCAAAGGTGCTAGGTTTGGTCATGGAGACCATATGGGGGTTTTAGGAGGGTTTTGGATTCTATGTAATACCCCAAATATCGGGTCAGTGATTATATTGAAATGATTTAAAATTTAGAGGATTAAATTGAATAAATAGTAAAGTATAAGAAATGATTTAATTAAGACCAATTAGTAAAAATGGAAGAATGAAAGGGCATTTTGGTCCTTTAGAGGGAAATGGATTTAAAATTCATTTTTATTAGGGATTTAATAGAGAAAGGGGAAAAGTTAAAAGGCTAAGGGGTTGTTTGTTTGGCTTTGAATGGAATCATTCAGCGCTGAATACTGAACCGTTCAGCATTCAGACTGTCTGTTTCTCACATCTGAATGATTCAGTGCTGACTGATTCAACAAAACAATGATGAATGATTCAGCACAGAAGTACATTCTGAATGATTCATATCCATTATCAAACAACATGTCACATTCAGAGCTAATTCATACAGAGCCTCTGAATCATTCAATATTTGAATCATTTACCGCTTAATCATTCTGAAGTCAACAAATAGCCCCTAAGTTATTTTATTCTTCTTCTTCTTCTTTTCCGTTACCCGTGCTCTCCCCATAACCAAAGGTAAGTTTTCTTCAAGTGGTTTTTCCTTTAGTTTATGGGCTAGTTTTGAAACCTTAAGTGATATAGTGTTTTAAGGAGAGTTCAAGGATGATTACAACTAAGTGATTAGTGAATTAATTGAAATTGAAGAAAATGGGTTTTTGAGTGATATGATGAAATATGAGTTTTTATTGAGGATTACAAGTAAATTTTACTTGTCAAAGAAGTCAATAAGAGATTAGAAGCCTTGCATGTGATTAAAAACATGTTGGAAAAAGTAGTGTGATTCTTGGTTTGGAGTGTTTTTTTTAAAGAATTTGGATGTTATAGGAAGATTAATGAAGGAAAGTTAGTTGGGCTAAGTAATGATGAGTTTAATGGTATTGTTGGAGGTAAAAGTAAGAGATTTAAACGAAATTTAGGTAAAAATTGAGCTAAAAAATGGAAAATCTAGGTAAGGGTATCGGTACTGGAAGAATAGTACTGATACTATAGGTTTAAATTTAGGAAAATAGGATGAACTATATCGATATTGATGTAATTAGTATTGATACTGATGCAATTAGTATCGATACTAAGAGAAAGATATCGATACCATGGATTCCAGAATGCAGAAATGGTATCAATACTGAAGGGAGAATCGGTATTATAGTATAGAAGTACCGATATCATACTAGGGGTACCGATACTATTGAGCCTGAAATGTTATAGATAGGATGAATTCTATAAAAATTTAATATAATAGTGTTTTTGAGTATTATTAAAGTATAAATGTTAATAATATACTAACATTTGTATGGTATATGCAATAATGGATGCTTGTGTAGATTGTAACCAAGCTCCAGAGTCAAGCAAGAAAAAGGGCAAGGATAAAGTTGTCGAGTAGTCGGACATCATTACAACATTCTAGTGAGGCATACCAGGTGAGTGCATTTATTATGTACATTAAGAGTTATAGATGCATATTGTTAAATGCATATGTTGCCTTTTTATATCAGTACTATGTATAATATCGACACTAAGTGTGCAACCCACGGAACTCATAATATGTTTATGAATGATCGTATCGGCACTAAGTGTGCAACCCACAAAATTCATAATATGTTTATGAACGATCGTATCGGCACTAAGTGTGCAACCCACGGAATTCATAATATGTTTATGAACGACCGTATCAGCCTTAAGTGTGCAACCTACGGAATTCATAATATGTTTATGAACGACTGTATCGACACTAAGTGTGCAACCCGCGAAATTCATAATATGTTTATGAACGGCCGTATTCACACTAAGTGTGCAACCCACAAAATTCATAATATGTTTATGAATGACTGTATCGGTACTAAGTGTGCAACCCACAAAATTCATAATATGTTTATGAACGACCGTATCGGCACTAAGTGTTCAACCCACGGAATTCATAATATGTTTATGAACGACCTTATTGGCACTAAGTGTGTAACCCACAGAATTCATAATAGGTTTATGAACGACATTATCGGCACTAAGTGTGAAACCCACAGAATTCATAATATGTTTATGAACGACCGTATCGACACTACGTGTGCACCCCAACGACTTATAATGTTATGAAAAAAAATAATTCATATTTTGATAGTTATGATATACTTATATTTTAATAATGATATTTAGGTGCAACTCATTTACCATGCATGTTCATTCAACATATATTGGACAAACAAAGGATAAATTAGAAAATACTGATTGAGGACTATGATGGGCATACTAAAGATAGTTATCATGTTATTTGATTGAAGATTGGTTCGCCAAGCATATTTGATGTATTGATATGAATTATACGATTTTCATTTGTATTTTGATAATTTGGGATATGTTTATATTTAAGTATGATTCATTTTGTATTACTATGCCTCACTAAGTAAATACTTAGCGTATGTTGGTTTAACACATAGGTAAAAGTTGAGATTATAAGTAAAGAGTACTGAGAAACTCCAAGCATCAAGGAATATATTGTAATATCAGTAAGACATCCTATGATGAAATTTTTTACTTAGTTTAGTGGCATGTACTTATGAATGTCCTATTAGCTCTATTTAAATATTTTGGAAATTGGTTTGTAATAGATTATATGGATCGTCTTATATTGATTTTAAATATGGATAACATGAACTAGTATTGATAATTAGAGTAGACGTGTTTAATATATATATATAATTAAAGAATGTCTTATAATCTATATTATTAAATGGTTTTATCTAAAGAAAACAAAATTTTTACTGATTTTCAAGTATCGAGAATGTTTCAAAAGTCATGTGACATCTGTGACTCGTGTATGAAAATGTATACGGGAAATGGGTGTTATATTTATTGGTATCAGAGCTATAGGTTTAGCCATTTCTGGACATGAAACAAATATTAATTTTGTTAATAATGTATACATGCCACTAGGATGTCAAAAGTTCACTGATAGTTGTATATATACTATGATGATGCTTATAAGGGAGTAAAGTTAGTATTTATTAATGTAAGATGATTTTGATTGTGTTTATATGTCGGAAACTAAAGGTAAATGTAAGAAAGTTGATAATGTTGGAAAAGAAGGTCGAGATCAAAATCGACCCAAGAGAATCTGACATGACTTCAGTATCACACCTTAGAAGGGTAAAGACTGCTAGGGATTTTCCTCCATTATGTGGAAGGAATTCCCCAACGTTTAACGATGTTTCTGCATTTGAGGAGTCCATTAAAAAGTTTGAACGGTTTACAAGAGAAGTTGAATTTGATGAGGATCCATAGGAGATTTCTGAATCTAGTTATGATTATGAGGTTTCTTCAGGTAAGCTTAAATAATTGAGAAATATTTAAGTGAATCATTAAAGTGTTTAAAGCATTGTAAATTTGAGTAAGAGGAAGTGAGTAAGAGGTAAATATGTTGTCCACTAAAAGTTTATAGAAAGCTGTGTTATTAGTGAATAAAATGATTATGAGTTTGTTTGAGAATAAATGTTAAGTTTTATGGGCTTGATAGAGTTAAGTTTAGAAGGTAATTTGTGAAAATGGATTGTCTACCCATTCCATGCTACAATGAATTATTATTTAGAATTTAGACTAATTCTCGAGAACTTGAAAAGTGTCAAGTTCGTAATGATAGGAAAAAAGAGTAAATTTGTTTACTAGTGTAATTTTTAGCATTAACTGCTATGAAGTTATTGCTACAAAGTTGTCGAGTCTTCTTATTAAATGATGTGGATATTTAGACTTTCATAGTTGAGATAGAAAATGTTTTAATTGCTCGAGAATATTTTCAATGGATCCGGAAAAGTTACACCAATTTCCTCAAGAAGGAAATAAGAAATTTTAAAATAAAAATA